GAGAGAGAGAGAGAGAGAGAGAGAGAGAGAGAGAGAGAGAGAGAGAGAGAGAGAGAGAGAGAGAGAGAGAGAGAGAGAGAGAGAGAGTGAAGTTATGGAGCTTATTGATGTTTTGACGATATCAGCAAGGCTGCAGGAGGTCATGGATTGACTTCCATTGATGACCGTGGAGGAAGTCAACCTTTATATAGTGTTTCCTTAGGTTGACTTCCGTCTGCACCTGGGAGCAGTTGACCAAATTACAGGTCCATATGGGCCCAGGTGCAGGTCCTGACCAATATGGGTTCCGATACGCCCTCATATTTGATCAATATGGGCCCAGGCACTGGCGCTGACCAATATGGGCCCAGGTACCGGCTGGGATCTGTAGGGCCGGTCGTCTAGGGTCAGGTCCTCTAGGGCCCAGTCCTCTAGGTGCTCTGGGCCCGAAGTTGCGCTCAAGGTAACTCAACGACCCAACCACCCAACCACCAAACCAACCACCCACCCAACCAGCCAACCACCCAACCACGTAACCACCCAACCACGTAACCACCCAACCACCTAACCCAACTACCCAACCACCCAACCGGCTAACCCAACCACCCAACCCACCACCTAACCCAACCACCCAACCCAATCACCCAACCACGCAAACAACCACCAATCAAGACAACCACCCAATCATCCAACCAACCACCTAACCACCCAACCACGTAACCACCCAGCCACTCAACGACCCAACTACCCAACCACCTAACCCAACCACCCAACCACCGAACTGCCTAACCCAACCACCCAACCACCCAACCACCCAACCAACCACCTAACTCAACCGCCTAACCGCAGGTCGGGAACACAGGCTCGGCGCAGGCTTGGGAGACAGCCCGAGGGTCAGGTCAGGGACAGAGGCTGGGAGCAGGCGAGGGAGACAGGTCCAGGGAAGGGTGGGCACACAAGACCAGGCATGTAGCATGTAGGGGACAGCGCCAGGCTCCACTTGAATCCTGGGTCCACGCCCAAGGGTAACAAGCTGACCGGGCCAGGTGCAGGCCGGGAGCCTTTTTTTTTTTTTCCCTTTAAAAGGCCAGGCCATGAATAGGACCAGACTGGGCCTGCACCCTGGGTGTTCGGTCAACGCCCAGGCCTAAGCTGCTCGCTGGGTCCGGGTGTAGGACGGGGTTAGGTGCTTGCTGTTTTTTTTTTCTTCTTTTTCTTTTTTTTTCTAATTCGAAGTCGAGGACTCGACGGAGTCGACGCGATGGAGCCTTTTTTTTGCATGGACGCACACACCTGCTTCTAATTTGAAGTCGAGGCCTTGATGGGTGTTGGGTGGAGTCGAGGCGACGGTGCCTTTTTTTCTTGCTCTCTCTCTCTCTCTCTCTCTCCATCTATCAATTTAGTTTATGCGAGTGGTCTCTCTCTCTCTCTCTCTCTCTCTCTCTCTCTCTCTCTCTCTCAAGTCTGTTTGAGTTTATGCGAGTGGTCTGTGTCAGGTTCCCTACAACATTTCTTATTTTTGTGGGCATAGCCCGCACCGCCCGCACCGCGGGCGCTTAGCTAGTATTAGTTTAAGCTGAAAAACCTCGCCCTAACTCACCAGAGGCAGGTTTTTGGGTGGCGAGGGACAGCTGGTTTAATGAGTAAGGGAGTAAGGCCCACAGTCTCCACGGGAGCTGAAGCCACACCACATTCCAAATGTGAAAAAGACAAAAAGTGTGGCGGTTGCATCTGGCCATGTTCTAGCGGGAAGTTCATACATTTTGCACATTTCTCAAGTGATGTGGTGATGCCCTAATGGCCCCACGAAGCCCCTCTCTCTCTCTCTCTCTCTCTCTCTCTCTCTCTCTCCCCCCTTCCACCCCAAAACTGCCTTTCATTCTTTTTGTTTTGTGCCGGCTTTGCAATAACATGTTTGAAGCTTCACAAAAAAAAAAAGTGCATCTTGCCAGTGCTCACACGTAACACACACACACACACACACACACACACACACACAGAGGTCTGTTCTGCGTGTTAAAAAAAAAAGAAAAAGAGGTTTGTTCTGCTACTGAGCACTCTGCATGTGCGTGGACTGTTCTCTGGACCAAATGCATCCCGACCAATGGAACACTTTTGATGCATCTGGACCATTACCGGATGCAATTAGATTTTCTGTTTTTTTTTTTTTTTCCCTCCGCTCCTCTCCACTCTGTCGCGGGTTACGCTAGACCCCCTGCCCCTTCCATTCTAGTCATTTCCTTTTCCCCACTACAGTGCCACTCGCACCAGATCTTCATCTCTCTCCAAAACCTGAATCACCCTCCTAAGTCTGTCCACATTCACTCAGCTACCTGTCAGCCCTCACATCACAAATCTAAGTTCTTCACTACCAAACCCATCTATCCCCTCTCCCTTTTTAGCCCGACCCATTCTCTCAGCTTCCCGCCCTGACACAATCATTCGAACCTCCCATTTACTGCCAACATACACTTTTCACTATGGCATCTCCAACCCGACTTGCCCACTCTTCACTATGGCATCTCCAAGGTCCACTTCATCTCCAAGGTACCATGGAAGTACGTCATCCTGAAAAAAACCCAAAGGAGGGTTAGGAATCCTAGACCCAGAAACACAAATCAAGGCCCATAATGTACAATTTCATGGCATTAGGACTGCGGCACTGCGCGGAATAAAAAAGCTGGCCAAATTCAAACCCCGGACAACATGTGGGGACTGTTTTTTATTATGTCCAACAGTCCAAATCATGGGCAATGAATTACTCCCACAAAGAAACCGAACAGGATGAACATGAGAGAGGTCATTCTCACAACATCTGGCAACAACTCCTAAAATCCCGGAGGGAAATCTTCCCGGCCAAGGTAAAGGAGCCTATGGCTAAAGAAGAGGTGCTCAGACATCCCATCTTCTCTAACCAATGGATCCTAGACACTCAATGAAAACCATGGGACTCCAACAACAAAAACTCAAAATGGGGCTCATGGGTGCAAAGAGGAGTGTGGCAAGTCAAACATCTATGGCACAGCACAGAAGGTAGATGGAAGGCGGTGGGAGAACTGCGTCAAACCCTGAAGGGCTGCCACAACCTACAAGAGAATCTGAAAAAATCCTAATCTCAATCCCAGACAAACGGGTAAAACTATTAAGCCAGCAGTACTTGGCCCAGCTATCGGCCGCAAAAAAAAGAAAAAAGAGTAGAAACGTTTCTAGTTGGATGAATTTGGGCGCTCCTGTAGTGGCCTGTACGTTTCCTAAAATTGTGGCTTGTTAATGGGCAGGTACTGCAATGCCTGCATTGTTAACTGGCGACAGACCCACAAATCAATGCACCACAAAGCACGCCAGAAGGCGAATGGCTACAAGCACGACAAATGACCCCCCCAAACATGGCCCATCTATTCCCAAAAACGGAGGGATATGTACACAATAGAGTACCCGGGGACAACTACAAGTCTGCTAAGCAAGGACCCAACAGGAGAAGTAGCCCGGTTGGACAGCGCGGCGAGAAAAGAGTAGTAGAAAGCGAGCAACGTAAAATCTACAATCCGGCAACCAGCATTCTAGACCTGGAAATTGACTAGTGGACTGGGCATGGAAGCAGAGAACAGGAAATAAAAAAGCAAACTAACATTCTGGAATATACCGCTAAATCAGGCTACACACTAAGAACGAGGTCGTACCGAGTAGCACAGGTTATCATCCAAAGATGGGAAGCGCAGCTCAATCAACCAACATACTGCACCGACATATCCTCTTGGAATAGAACTTACCATAACTTCCCCTAAGATACGACGCTTTCAGTGGCAACTGGCTTACCTAGGCTTGCCTGTCAACCTATGGCACTCGATAACGGGCAAAAACGTTCTAGCTGACACAGTCGCCATCCTACTAGGACTCCATACAGCCCCTTCCTGGCTAGGCTTCGAAACCACATTCTTCCATGTACTGAGATCAGCCACACTTTGGATGATATGGAAGCGCAGATGCCACTAGACAATAAACCGCACACCAATGGCTGGTCAAGAGGCGTGGGAAGGAGTCTTACAACTAATAGAGGTGGAATACAGAGAACGTTGGAAGAGAACACACAAGAAGTAACGGACATCATAGAAAATAAGGATAAAATCATAGATGCATTGAAAAAACAACAGCTACGAGAATAAAAAATAGCAATAATAGCTAATGAGTCATGACAGAATATAGTTTGGTCAGTGGAGACGTAACAAACTAACCCAGCCTCAAGGAAAAGAAGAACTTAAGAGGTCAGGCTTCAGCGACTTCCAAGCAAGGTACAAAAATAAATACAGCCCACAGAGAACAGAGGTATACAACCCGTCCAGACAGCATCTAACTACCCTAGCTCCCAAAAGGCCTAAGTTTGCATAGTCCGGACCAATGGCATTTACAATCCTTGGGCAATCTAGAGTTCAGGGATTTAGCAAGGGTTAGAAGGTTTGATGCCTCATACGGCTCTAGTTGCCCAAGTAAATCTGACAGCCCAACAGTTGCGAGGAGTAAGTACGAGACAAGCCCGATAAGGTTCAGGGGTTTCCACAGTAAGTTGCCAAGCTGGCAGGTCAGCCAAGTAGTAGCTAGGGCTCTCTTAGGTAAGTTACAAATAACAAACAGAGGTCGTAGAAGTCAGACTAGCAACCAATCTCAAAGTAAGTTTTGTAGGCTAACTTAGGCAAGGAGGGATACATCAAGGGATCGAGTGATGGCAGATCAATGGTGAAGGGGTGGATGGAGGCATGCATGCATGTATGGACAGGTTGATGAACAGACGAGGGCATGGACAGCCAGAGGGATGGATAAACAAAGCCACAAACGGAAAGACCGATGGATGGATGGACGGATAGATGGATGGATGAATGGATGCATGGATGCATGGATGGATGGACGGGCGGATTGACCGATGGACACAAGGGGTGACCATTGGACGAATGATGACTGACGAACGGATGCAACAACCGATGGACGAATGGACTGATCAACAAATGGACCAACCAGCTGACGGAGGGATGGATAGACAAACATATGGATGGACGGACCAACCAATCAATGGACCGATGGACCAACTGAGGCACGGGCACATGGACCCACAGACCGACACACCGGCCATGGATCAACACAAGGACCAATCATCACCTATGGACCGCCCAGCCGATCTAACGGAAAGAACGATGGACAGATGGGTGGATGTACCAAAAAACGAATGAACTCACGAAACGATGAATGCATGGACAGACAGACTGATGAGCCAACCGGCTCACAGAGAGAGAGAGAGAGAGAGAGAGAGAGAGAGAGAGAGAGAGAGAGAGAGAGAGAGAGAGAGAGAGAGAGAGAGAGAGAAGCTTACCCATAATTCTTTGCACTTGCTGCATGGCTCAAGGGTATAGAATCGATCTTTGAAATTGACAAAAGTTACATTGGATGCCAGTGCAGCCTGGACAAAATGCGCCTGTGGTGCAACTATGCCACTGACTTGCCGTATAGAAGGCCAGGGCAATTGCAACCCCATGTCTGCTATTACAAGTGCATTTGTTATTGCTGGCCTGTCTGAATAGGCAAATCTGCATTCATGCCCACAGCACATACGTTGACAGGATGGTACAATTTCACAAGATGACAATAACCACATCAGTTTCATTTGTAGTCACAAAGAAGGCAAAACGGGAAAGATCAGGATTTTACTATTCGAAAACTTCCTTGCAAGTGTCCGCCACCTCCAACATGTGATAGATGACTAGGCACCCCTCAGAATAGTTTAATTCCTTTTTGAAAATGAGTAACATGAATACTACGGAATCCATAGTTTGTTTTTTTATTCAACGAAACTTGACACTTCACAATGTAGAACCATAAGCACCCTATCCTCTACTCCATGGAGAAATGAATGACAGTCAGCAGCCCAAGTCCCAATGTCGCACAAGCAACAAGCAGCACTTCCGCAGTCTCACGAATGAACAGTGTCTGGCAAGCTGCATTGTAGCAGCTACTAATAGAAGCTTCTTGGTCTGCTTCCGCCCGGTGCCGGTCGGCCGTGGCCTGTCTACTGCATGAAGTTTTGTGGTCTGGTAGCTTCTGGACTTTCTTGGGACGATGCTGTAAAATTGGACTTTGGGACTAGGCTTCATTTGCCGTGTACCGGTTGGACTTTTACCGGTCAGTGTCTGTTCGGTACCGGCCAAACACAACCTATGACACTTCGACATCCTACGGAGCATAGGACCCTACAGACCCTACCTGGAACTCACCTACCAGGACAGGTGGGACGGGGACCATCTGGGACTGGGCCCAACTGGGACTGGGACAATTTGGGACCCTGGAACCGGGACTTGGGGCCTTTCAAAAACAAAGAAGAAAGGAAAAGGTGTGGGGAATCTCACCTATACTGTAGAGAATAGTCTGTGAGTCTCTCTCCACTACTCTAAATAGCTAGTTGGACAAGGAACCAGACTGCTGTTTCCCGGAATAGTAGAAAGGTGCCCTAGTGATAAGACTTCCCTTTTCTTTGAAGAGAAAACGTGAAAAAGGAACCAGTTTGGTGACCCCTGGAATAGTAGGAAGAAGCTGTAGTCTGTAGCCTTGTGACTCCGTCTTTTCTTTGTGCAAAGAATATGAGCGAGAGCGATAGACAGAAATCCAAATTGCAAAAATCGCGAAGTAGCCCAGATAGTCATGTACCACTCAGAGAGCACAATGGACCAAGATACCATCCAAATAAGAGCAATACAATGAACTCAAACGTCAATGCCAATGCTCTCTGGCCAAACCAACATAGTATCCAATGTCGCTCCTACTGTCGGGCACCTAGCGCCCAGCCTACACTACTCGGCCTACCTAGCCTATCTACGTTCATGCAACAGGAGCACATCGAAGTTGAAGACCAATGTACACGCCATCACCAATGCAGATCGCCAGCATACACGAGGTACGTTCTCTCCTCCCCTCATCACACCCTGTCTCCCCACTGCATGCGCCTTCTACCCGAAGACCACCACCGCCATCACCTGCACGCGCACAAGTAGCCCGGCTATGGCCGCCATGCGCCAGCTGCCACCGCACCTCCCTCTCACCTCTAAGCGCCCGCGTGCACCCCAGCCTGCCAGCGCTAAACAGCACTCACGTGACACAGCTGCAGCGTGGCCACAATTCCTCTGCAAGCCAGAATGCTGTGCCCCTGGGCACTCACTTTCCCTTATGGAAAGTGAGCCTGCTTCTGTCTGCCCTGGGCCTGGCGTGTAGGGGCCTAGTAGCTTCCGGTTGGCCCAAAGTGTCTGCGCCCAGGCCCAGCTTCAGATGCTGGCCTGGGCCCCGTGCAGTTAGGCACGTCCAAGTAGCCCACGAGGCTCCAAGTGTTGGGCGCGTTCTCATTGGCTTGTGGCATGTGTGCGATGCAGGAGCTGCTTTCTCATTGGTCTGCGGCCGCTACATGACATGTCAGCCTCTGGATTTGTGTGCCCAGGGCCTCAACCGAATGAGCCCTGGGCTCAACTGTACCGCGCAGCTGCTGCTTCTGGAAGGATCCAGGGAACGCTTACGTTGCTCTGTAATCAACTGGCGTTCTGCAACTGTCTGGTACCCCACATATGAAAAATGTCGAAAATAGACCTCTCGTGGATGTACAGGCCCACCCTCACTTAGGGCGGGCACGAGGCTTGCTGGGGTTCTGAGCCCAGAACTTTTGCATGCCCGAGAAGGGCCTTGCAAGGGCTCAATCCTCGCATTCCGTCCCCCTTAGCTTCGAAAGTCCGCTGAGATGCTTCTATGCAGGTGCTTTCTCCTTCAACTTTCGGTCATACTCTGCCACGATCTGAGGTGCTGTTATGAGGAGCTCCTCTCTTGTGAACCAACATCTTCTTTTGGAATTGTATGATGCCTGAATCTGACCCGGTACTCCCTCATAGGTTTTGGCGGTCTTCCCCTGCCCACAGGCTCGGGAACAGGCAAGTCTCAAGATGACGTCGGCGTCCACATGGCCATCCATGGTTGGGGGCCGCATTGATCTCCTTATGGGAATATCTAGAACTCCCCAAGGACCGAAGTAGAGATACTGAATTCCTGTCCCAATTCACTAGCCTTTACCCAAACACGTTCCCCTACCTGAAATGTGGACTGCCGTCTATGTTTGTTCTCAGAGGTGATCATTGCCTCCTGAGATTTTCTAATGTGCTCGACAGCCTGCTGCAACAGCTTCGCATACTGGACACCAAATTTTATGGTTCCAGGAGTTGCAGCTGGTCGATTTTATGGAAGGAGGAAGTCTAGTGAAGATCTAGGCTTCCATCCTAATGCAGCTCATTCGGACAAACACCTGTGTTGTTGTGAACAATGCCGTTGAACAAACTGGCAATGAGAGGCAATTTCTCATCCCAGTCATCCTGGCTGGGCTTCACGTAGTGCCTCAGCAAATGCTGCACCACGCGGTGTATCTGTTCAGCTTGGTCATTGGCTTCGGGATGATTCCCCGAAGTCATTAGGAGTTGGCTACCCATTTGCTCAACAACCTTCTTCCACATTTCACTTGTGAACCGGACATCTCTATCACCAACTGTAGACTTGGGCAATCCAAAGTCGCGCACCCAGTTGAATTGTTTGGTCCTCGCAGTCTCTGGCATGACAATTAGTTTAGCATACTTAGTAAACCTGTCTAATATGACAAAGATGTGTCACTTGCCACTCTTGCTTGTCACGAGGGTATCCATGGAGTCCATGGAGACACTCTGTCCTGGACCTGCAGGAATGGGCAAGGGCTTGAGTAACCCAAGTGGTGGTTGAGTTCGCGACTTATCCCACTGACAGACTTGACAAGTCTGTCTGGACGTACTTCTTCGCATCGTCAAGCATACCAGGCCACCAGAATCGCTGCACTAAGTTAGCACTGGTCTTCTTGTAGCCGAAGTGCTCTGCCGCATCATGACTCTTTCCTAAAAATAAACTACGCAAAAACTCACTAGACAGCACACACAGTCTTTTAAACCGCCAGTACCTTTGAGCTGCCTCCGCCGAACCAGTCCGCGGCCAGTGCCCGATGCTGAGGAAGGGTGGGCTGAAAAAAGAGCTCTGGCAGCTCTGAGGGGAGGGGGGGGGGGGAGAAGAAGAGACGRGGGGTGGTCTTGGTCATGCGGTTGGGGGCTCTAGAAAATAGAAGAATCGGAAGAGCACTCCAGCATTCACAAAAAGGGGGGAAAAAAAATGAAAAGGAAGGGGTGAGGGCCTCACTCTAACACTCACCACTTGTGCAAAATGAGAATGAATTGCAAGGAAGATGAGCGATAGCGACTTTAGAAATCACACCGCATCATACACATGAGACCAGATAGTCGTGACCTCGAACCAATAACATAATTGCATCACGCGTTTCACCAAATAAGAACACAGCAAAAGCTCATAATTGACAATGCTGGAATAGTCTCACCATCATCAACGAAGAACGAATGTCAATGTCCTATTTGGCACTCGGCGCCTAGACTACGGATGGCAGATCCTATCTAGCCTAATCTACGATGCCGCCGATGATGTCAACAGCTCCCCGAAATACGAGCAGATCTCGGCCAATGCCGTACGCTTCAAGCACCAGGTATGTCTCTCGTATCACTCACAACCTTGTTCCCCAACTCACAGATGCCACATGCACCCAAGGACCACCATGCGCCCCATCCAGCATACAGCAACGCAGCTCGGCTATGCCTGCCTGCTGCTTCCAGCTCGCCCATGAGCGCGTGAGCCTGGCCAGCGATAGCGCAGCAGCGCTTGCGCACAATGCAGTCAGTGCCCGAATGTCCAATGCGTGGGCAGGCCCTTTCCTAAATGGAAGCGGCATGTCTGCCTTGCGTGTATCCTGGCTGCGTTGGGCCCCTGCCCAGAAGCTTCCGGTAGGTCCACAGAGGTTGAGCCCCAGTCCAAACGAGTTCAGGTCCAGGGCCTGTGACAGTCACCCGTGCCCAACTGTTTACAGTTTGAGTTGCGTCCATGCTGCGTATCTCGCCCAGGGCCTGACTCAAATGCATTTGATAAAGAAGGCTAGGGCCTGGGCGCTTTCAACCAACTAGCGCTGCGCAACTGCCTGAATTTCCCCAGTTGTGTGTTGACCCCAAAATTGGTTTGTAGGCCTCGGTCGAGCCTGCCTTCACTTAGGGCGACTGACTGTGCTGAACATAGGGCCCAGTAGGGCATATCGAGGCCTTGTGCCTCGCATTCCCTCCTCCATACTTCGCTAGTCCTCTGAGAAGTGTAATATTCAATAATTTGGCGCTTTCCCTTCTGCAAAGACTTTTCATATTGGGCCACAACCTGAGGAGCGGTCTGGATCAATTCCTCCCTGGTTAACCATCTATCCTCCTTTGGATCAGTATGATGTCTGAACCGAACCCGATACTGCAGCTTCGGTTTCGGAGGACGTCCCCTGGCTATTGGTCTTGGAACTGGCATTTCCTGGTGGTCAACGATGTCGTTGATGTCGACCTCTCCATCCACGGTTGGGGGCAGCATTGAGCGACGAGAGGGAAACCGATCTGTTTCTTTAAAAGGTGCGAGCTTTGAGGCATGAAAATAGGGTAAGTGTGTAAGT